GGAAGCAATACCGCCATGATGTGGAGGTGCCATAGTGTACGTGTGAATCCATGGAGGAGGATCAGGGGAGGAGCCATTGCCTGTCTTCATGGCTGAGTTAGGAATGGCTTCACCAAGGAGGGGCATGGTGGGTGGGTCCTGAAGGACAGACCATGGTTCCCAGGGTAGAGAGGGGAAAGGAGAAGGGGGAGTTTGTGCAGCAGCAAAGTCTTGGAAACACCTGGTGGGTTTAGGGAAGTTGTGGGCAAGGGGCTTGGTGGGGGTGGAGTGGAGTCGACCTCAGTGTTGGTATTGGGGATGGGACCAGCGGCAGATAGCATTAGAAGATGGGGACCATATATTTTATGGAGGATCTTGTATCTAAAAAAGAGAGTAAACTTTATGCTGAGTGCAGTGAGGAGCCGTCAAAGATTTTGTTTGGGCACTCAGGGGCACTCCACCACTGAGCCACATCCCCAGCCCTATTTTGTATTTTATTTAGGGACAGGGTCTCACTGAGTTGCTTAGCACCTCGCTTTTGCTGAGGCTGGCTTTGAACTCTTGATTCTCCTGCCTCAGCCTCCCAACCCGCTGGGATTACAGGCATGCACCACCTTGCTCAGCTAAAAGTTTTTAACAGAGGGGTGAAAATCTAACTCCACAGCAAGATGTGGACATGCTCAATCTTTCCAAAAGTGCAAGTCCTTTGTCACTCCAAGTCCATGCTTGGGAATTTATCTTAAGGCAGTAGTCACAGACACAAAGATATGTGAGTAATGAGCTTCATAACAATTCTGCTTCAATACTCAGAAATATTAAAGAATAGGTACACATATAGCAGAGTATTATGCTACTGTTAAAATTATATGACTTTCATTCATTTATTGACATGAAAAATGTATATGGTATAGTAAATAAAAACTTTACAGCATGATATACATATTATACGATCGCATTTTCTTTAAAATCAAACATATACACATACACACTTGTGTACACATGTAGATTCACACAAAAACCCCTGAAGGGCATGCAGTGTGCCAGTATTTTGATAGTGGTTGTCTCTAGGTGGTGGGATAATGTGAATTTTATATTTTTTTTCTGATCTTTTCAATAATAATATTTTTTTAAAAAAATTAAGAACGACAACAAAAGAAAATGCTCAGATTATAGTCCTGGGGAGGTTTGGGGAGGCGTTGGAATTTGGGGATTGGGTGCTAGAGCAGATGAGGGTCAGGGATGGGGTGGAGAGAAGATTTGGCATGATGCCCAGGTTTCCGATCTGGACCTTTGAGTGGCCAAAGGTGCCATTCCCCAAGAGAGGGAGCAGCAGAGGGGACACAGGCAAGAGTCAGAAGGTGAAGGTCCCAGTTCTTCATGTTGTTGAGTCTGAGCTGCTGGTGGGACATGCTGGGAGAATAGTTGTCGGGTTGATCTGGATCTAATGAGAGAAGCAAGTTCTGGAGATGAGTTGGAAGTGGGCAAGACAGAGACTGGTGGAGGAGTGTGGAGCTGGGACTCAGCTGAGACTATCACCCTGTGACTCTTTCATTGAAAGGTGGCTGAGGCCTAGCAGAGCCCAAGGGAGCACCAGTCAGCTTGGGGAGACCCAGGGTGTGCGGGGGAAAGCCAGAATAAGAAGAGTTTTAAGAAGGAGGAAGCTGCCATCTTGGTAGAGCATCTCACACACTTAAATGTCTTCCAGAACTGCTGGCCCATTTGGGGTGTGGATTCTGTTTATGGTCATAAGACACTTTGACCCATTTCCTGGGAATGGGAGTCAGGTTTATGAGGGGACAGGAATCTCTGCTGCCAATGAGTGTCCCTCAGAGGAAAGCCCACACCAGAAGGAGTTCAGGGAGAATGGAGGAGGCTTCCTAGCCCCAGGAGAGAAAACAGCACTTCCACAGCCCTCTTTTCTCCTGGAAGAACTGGGAGTAGGAGGCAGTCCTCTGTAGGATGAGGAGACAGATTTAATGAAATACAGTCATTGTTCTCGTCTCTGGGTGGATGGGGAATTCATGCAGTGCCTTCTGTAAGGATGTTATAGGAGATGAATCCATTAATTGCTGCCAAAAATGAAATGAAAGAAACAAAGAAATAAACAGAGCTCAGAAACAGAACTGGAAGGGATGCCAAAATGGGCTGCAGACTGTGAGGGTTATAGGTCAGAGTATTCTCAGCCCCAGCAGGGTGGGGGCTGCAGATCCCACCGCTGTGGGTTGAGTGTTGGTCCTGGTGTCAGTCTTCCTGAATTCCAATCCAGGCTCCTGTGGGGCATGGCGTTTACTCCCTCTGTGCCTCAGTTGCCTTATCTGAGTAATGGGAACATTAATAGTCACTTTACCTCAGGCGGGCTGTGAGGATTAGGAGAATCAGTCACCCCAACACAGGGAAGCATTTGCACTCAACATGACATTTATTGTCCCCATCATCATCATCTTCATGCTTCTGATGATGTCATTAACTCTGCTGCTTCCTCCATCTGGGAATGAAGAAATGGTAGAAGATGAGGAACTAACGTTCAGCAGGGATCACCAGGGAACATTACGTGAACACTTGCTCAGACTAGAACCTCCTGGTTTCATAAGCCACACAGGAAAGAATGGGATGTACCATTTTAAAAGTAGACACGTCCAGAATAGTATTCTAAAGTGGATCTGGAGGTCCCAGTGAAATTCGGAGCTGGGCCACGGGATATTACAGTGAGCAGGTGGACACAGGATTGAAGAGGAGGACAGACAAGTGAGGAAGAGCGGAAATTTAGAAGGGGAAATGTAAAAAAAAAAAAAGTGGTCATTTGACACAGAGAGGTGGAAGCTGTAATACTGCCTGAATCTGGGGAATGAAGCAAAGTCAGAGTCATAAAATCTGGGGAAAGACCTACGTAGTATTTCCGAGGGTCATATTGCTCTTTACTGCCAGTCATTCTGGAAATAGCCTCTCCAGACTTCCTGCTTCCCTAAATTCTACCTCCCACCAGCTGGCAAGTAACAAGGTCCCTTTCACTGTCTGCCGGGCCCTGTTTGAGAACCTTTCATCTTGTACCTGATTTGACCTTTGAGACCAGCTGATGGGGTGGGCGCTGTCACTGTCCCAATGAGGCACAGTGAGATAGGAAAGAGTAAGAAAGGAAAGATGGCGCTCACTGCATAGGGCCCATGAGAGATGATGAGGCCAGCCTCAAGTACACACCGTCACCTGAAAGGGGTCCGAGGAGGTCCCCCAGAATGGAGGAGGGGGCCTCAACTCAGCCCTGGCAGGTTCTTGACTTACACCACAGAAAGGAATCTCAGGAGATGTCAAAAGAAGCACAAAGATTTATCTAAGACATCTAGATATATATCTAGGAAAGCTAGCCATAGAGCAGGAGGCTCACTCAGAAGGAGCATGGGCATCTTAGAGTGAGACTTTTGGTGTCTTGGGCTCTTTGTCTTTGTGTGTGAGTGTGTGTGGTGGCAGGTGCTGGGATTGAACCCAGGGCCTCATGCATTCCAGGCAAGCGCTCTACCACTGCGCCATATCCCCAGGCCTTGGCCCCTTCTTCTTAAATAGTGAATCTTCATAAACAGTGAACATGTGAGACTGTTTCCCCCTTGGCTTTATTTATTTATTTATTGGCAGTACTGGGGATCAAACCAGGGCCCTTGGGCATGCGGGGCAAGCACTCTCCTGATGAGCCACACCCCCAGCCTTCCTTGGCTTTATTTAGTCTAAAGAAAATATATTATTTAAAGTAGCAGCGTGCATGGCAGTGACCCTCTAGACTGAGAATACTCTGAGTTTTCTAGAATTCAGGCCTGGAGGGACGCAGGGTGGCAAGCAGCGATGAGAGTGTTGGCCGAGCTGCTTAGATTGAAAGTCACACCTTCCATTCCCCCTCCCTGTTGGTCTCCTCCCTGCCTGTCCTCATTTATTCTATCCTCCCCCACAGAAGACCACCTGGCTCTGAAGTCTGTGACCTTTAGTGCTGTAAAAAGGTGCTGGTGTCATTGTCATGGCAATGGTGTCATGAAAGCCCCTAACTTGAGAGGCTGAGTCTCTCTAAGCGCCCAGCCTGCTGTCCGGGGACGGCTGTGCTTCCTCGTGGTGTCTGGTGGTGGACTCCAGAAACTCCTGTCCAGACTCTAGAGTTTTTCTGGTTTTGCTTCCTGAGGTTCCTTTCTCCTTTCCACAGGTCACGTCAGACCTGAGCGCACACCATCGCTCCAGCCGGCATCTCCCGCACTCGCCTCTCCCCTCTTCCCTTGGCTCCGGCCCTGCTTCTTCATGGCCGCTGCTCTTCAGGGTCCCCCTCCTACTCCTTGCAGCTGTCCAACCCTCTAAGCGCCGCACTCAGATTTCTGTTTCTTTACAGAACCTTCTCATGTCATTCCAGTCCATGGCGATTTCATAATCTGCTCAATTCCTATGGCACTTGCTGTGTCTGCCTTTGATTTGAGGGTTCCATCCTTCATTCACCCACCCCCAGCATCTCCTAGGGTTACAGGATGAATGAGAGCCACCTGCAAACAGCTTCCAATCCAATAAGGGAAAGAGGCATAAGACAAGTCATCGTCACTCTGCAGCAGGCATTTTATGACCTGAGTGTTCTGGGGACAGTGCCAGCCTAGAGGAGGGAATGATCAGCTCTCTTTGGAAAAGTTTCAAATAGAGAATTTTGCACACTTGTCTGGGTCTGGAATAATGAGTAGAGGCTTGCTGGGTGAAAGATGGGAACAAAGCAGCTGCGAAGAATATTCTGGGTTAAGAGAACGGCAATTATGAAGGTATACCTTGGGCCTGACACACCTTGACTGGCAGCAGCATGTGACCTGTTACCTGTTCACCACCGACTCATGCCTTGTATACAGTTACGCCATTGTTTAGCGAGGTCACAATTCCTTCTATTTAGCCAAGAGCCCTTTACATGGCAGGTACCACTCTGAACCCTGGGATAGTTCCTTGTGGGCAGTTTCCAAGCCAGGGAGCAAGTGGACTAATGCCATCCAAGTGACTGGTTTGGCTTCTGTGTTTCCTAGACCAAGGATGCCCTCTTCACCATTCTCCATGACCTCCGGCCCCAGGACCGCTTCAGTATCATTGGGTTTTCCAACCGGATCAAAGTGTGGAAGGACCACTTGCTGTCAGTTACTCCCCTCAACATCAGGGATGGCAAGATCCACATTCACCATATGTCACCCAGTGGAGGTAAGAATGGTTCCTGCCTCCCATAGTAGCCGCAGCATAATCAAGCTAATTTTCTGCCAAGAGACAAGAATTTGAGAGCTAAAGGTGCTGACAGGACAGAGGGTAACTGGTGAGGGCTTTCTCAGGAGCTTATGATTCTCGGAACACCAAATTTGTGAATTCTCCTTCCTCAGTCCCCAGACTAAGTTGGTCAGCTTAAGGGGACAAAGTACCTAAAAGGTGGTTGGAGGCTTTCCTGGCTTCTCTCATGGATCCTGGACAAGGAAACTCTTTTTATAAATTGTTCTTGGGTGGAGAGTTAAAGCCCAGTGAATGGTCCATTTGGATGAGGGCACCTTGAGCAGAAAGATGGCACTGCCCTGCGGAACTGGTGGCCTTCAAGGCAGGGTCTTCAGAGTGGGTCACCATGGCCTGGGAAGTGCTATGAATGTGAAATGGGCCAAGGAGGATGCTGGGCTCTGAATCACTGTGTGGTCATTCTGAGCATGGCCCATGTGCAGAGTGTTCAGAGAGGAGAATTCTAAGCCAGGTGCAGTGGTCCACACCTGTAATCCCCGTGACTCCAGAGGCTGAAAAAGGTGGATAGCAAGTTCAAGGACAGCCTCAACAACTCTGAGACCTTGTCTCTATATAAAAAATTTAAAAAGGGCTGGGGATGCAGCTCAGTAGTTCAGTCCCCAGTATCAAAAAATAGAGTTCTGAGATCAGAGAATCAGAATAATATGTTACCCATCTGTGCTACCTGTAAGTTTTTTCAACTCCGGACAGGGGCTGTGTCATGAATACTGTGGACACATAAAGAGGTGCTCAGTGCTGGAGTGTTCTGTGGGGCCGAGCTGTCCCTGCTCCCTGTCTTGAAGACCCTTTACAGAGACCCATCTTATGAAGTTGTCACTGTGGTTAACTCCACTTTGGTTATCTAGAAACATGTGAAACAACTCAGTCTTCTCCCAGTTTTCATGTATTCATAATTTCCCATCGAGGACGAAGCCCTGATTTTCCAGAGGAGCCTCACCTGGAACTTGGCCTTGCTTGGCCAGTGTCTGACTTAGCCTGGCATTTCCTACCAGTCTCCATAGCAGCGTGGTCTAGAACTTTTCTGGTGTTGGATGGTAAAGGTAAAAGATTAGATTTAATTTGATAGTTTTTGTCCACAGAAGAAAGTTGACAAGGCTGTGAAGTCCTTGTGGCCTCTAGTACCCAGCGTGGTTCCTGACAGGTACTGCATCCTCAGTGAATATTTGCTAAGTGAACTTATTTTAATGGCACTACTTACTCTTCAAATGACAAGTGTATGTTTGGCAGGGAGGTGATAAGTAACTTCAGATAACAGCTAAACTGTGGACTATGTTCCTTTGGAATCTGAACCTTAGAAACCTGGTTAGTTTCATATATATATATATATATATATATATATATATATAAAATTTTATTTATTTTATTTTTTTGGTAGGGGGCTAGGATTGAACCCAGGGGTACTTACCCCTGAGCCATATCCCAGCTCTTTCTTGTGTTTTATTTAGACACAGGGTGTTCTTGAGTTGCTTAGCATCTTACTAAATTGCTGAGGCTGGCTTTGAACTCTTGATCCTCCTGCCTCAGTCTCCTGAGCCACTGGGATTACAGGCACACTCCATCATGCCTGGTTCCTCTACTTATTCTTTTTTAAAAAAAAATATTTTTTGTAGTTGTAAATGTACCACATGCCTTTTTATTTTATTTGTTTTTATTTTTATGTGGTGCTGAGGATCAAACCCAGTCCCTCACATGTGCTAGGCCAGTGCTCTGCCGCTGAGCTACGGCCCCAGCCCCCCTCTACTTATTCTTGACCCTGCATTGCCTCAGCCTCTGCAGGTCAACAGTGGATTAATCTGCTTCTCTCTGAGAATGGAACCTCAGAACTAGGAGTGTAGATTCTGAAGCCATACTGCCTGGACTTGAATTCAGCTCCACTCTCTATTAGACAAAGAACTTCCCTCTGCCTCAGTTTCTTTGTAAAGCAGAGATAATAATGGGGTTGTTATTGGGGTGAGATGAGTTAAGATTTTTAAAGTGCACAGAAGAGGCACGGCAAGCAGGAAGTCCTCTTCAAGCATCAGATGTGGCCATGATTTTTACCCACTTGAGTAGCTCCCTTGCTGGTGCGCTTGGGTCCCGTGAGTTCTTGGTTGCTGAGTGGACAAGAGATGCCCCATTTTAACGTAGGCCTGATTCCAAGCCCTGTAGTTCCTTTGGCACCCAGGTGCAATCAGGAAGGCTAAATTGATGGCTTGGCCCTGGCTCTCTTTGGCTTTGAAGTGGAGAGGGAGACTTGGCATCATTGCTAAGTGCCGATTAAAGAGCATACAAACACCTGCCAGTCAGTCCATGCCCACACACCCAGAGGCCACATGAAATTAGATGGGCGTTAAGAAAGGCAAATCAATGATCCCAAAGAAGTGTTGAAGATGGTTTCAGCTGTAACTCTCCCTTCTGTTTAGACTCTGTGTGCATCTTAGCAAGAATTATGAACATAATTGTCACAGGCATAGATTTATCCTTTTTTGCCAGAAATTCTGGAGAGTATAAAGCAGTGGGGAAAATGATCTGGTTCTTTCAAACATGGTACATTTTGCAAGGTGTTTGGAACAGAAATCTATGACTAAAAATAACGAATTGGGTGCTTAGAATGGGAAATTTCTTTGGTATGTAAATTTTAGCTCAAGCCATTCAAAAAACAACAACTAAAGGAAATAGATATTCATGCTACAGTAAGAAATCTGTTTTCCTTGATGGTTCAACAGTGGTAGCTCAGTTGAGTGATCTTCCTGGCTAATCCAGAAACCTCATTTTAGCTGATAGTTTTAACCTAACCAACCAAACCACCCATCTCTCTCCACCCACCAAGCAAATACATATTGGTACCTACCACACACCCTGCCCCAGGACTTTAATCAGAACTGCTGCTGCTGAGCACCTTTTCTAAAGGAGAGTTTACAGAATCAGGAGGTATATATATATATATATATATATATATATATATATATATATATATATATATATATATATCCGTGCCTCTTTCCTTTGTGGCTTCTAACAAGCAGAGGTAACCCTGAAGAGGCAGGAGTCAAGAAAAGGGACAATGAAGGTGACTCATTACTTCTTCAGTCAGCACCGTCCAGCCTGGGCAGCCTTTGAAGCCATCTGACATGGTCTCCAGTTGCCCGCGCCACCCGCCCCCCCCCCCACCTTTTCATTCTGTGATCCTTTCTTCCCTCTCTGACTTTCTTTCTTTGAATCTCTGTATCTAACATGTTCTGCTTCTTTTCAATGCTGTTCTAGGAATGTGGCAGCCATTAATGCTAAGATAAGGACTTCTAAGCCCAGGTGTCATTGGGTACCTTGGGGAAAAGGTTTGCCAGTGGGATAACACCTTGCCATTTAGATTTATCTGTAAGCTGAGCCACCCACATATGCAGGTGATCTCTTTTCCCCCCACAGCTCAGTCCTGCTGGTTGATGCCTGTGTGGCCGAGTTCTCTGCAGCTCTACACATGTGTCAGGGTCCGGGTGGGTGCAGAGGTGTGAGCTGTTCTGTGTTGCTCCCTACAGGCACAGACATCAACGGTGCCCTTCAGACAGCCATCGGGCTGCTCAACAATTATGTGACCCACAACGACATCGAGGACCGGAGTGTGTCCCTCATCATCTTCTTGACAGATGGGAAGCCCACCGTTGGGGAGACCCACACCCTCAAGATTCTCAACAACACCAAGGAGGCCGCCCGAGGTCGGATCTGTATCTTCACCATCGGCATTGGGAATGATGTGGACTTCAAACTGCTGGAGAAACTGTCGCTGGAGAACTGTGGCCTCACCCGGCGCGTGCATGAGGAGGAGGACGCTGGCTCGCAGCTCATCGGGTCAGTTGCCTGTCTTCTCGGGACGAGGAGAGGTTGAGGGGGCCCAGGATTGGATTCCTTGTGAAATTCAGAAATGAGGGTGATCTCACACCTGCCGGAAATGCCAACTCCTTGTACTGGTAGATACTGGGTGTTTTGAAATCAGGCAGGTTAGGGGTCCTGCTTTGGGACTTTATGACTGTTTCCTCATCTGTACAGTGAGGGTCATGGCAGGCTGACAGTTGAATGAGAAAGCAAGTGTTGGCACAGTGTCAGGTATGAGGTGTCCACTGAGCTCCTGTAGTTACAATTGCCTTCTTAATATTTTGAGTTTATTTTATAAGTGGTTACATTTTAATTTTGAAGCAAAGTGACCCATTAAAACTGGTAAATACAATACTCAGATTATTATATTGAGGTGGAAAAGAAACTAGATCTTGGGTCTTCTAACACAAAAGTACCTTCCCTCAAGCCATGTTGCCAAGCTGGGCATGTGACTTTGCTTTTTTGACTCAGATGCCAGCGTCTGCATACAGTACCTTTCTCTGTGTTGTGGCATATGTGGTAAAGGAAAACTGAGGTGAATTTACAGTTGTTCAGTAGCCATAGCCAAAGAAATTTATTCATTATCAATCCTGCTGAAGGTCTCTCAGGTATGCAATAAAAACAGGTGGTTGGTATGGGACTGGCTACCATTTTTTTCCCCAACATTTTAATGAAAGATTTAAATGAAAACCCTGATTACTTCCTACCATTATAAAAAATTATTAGATTCAAAGAAGGAGAATCAAATGCTCTGATAAAAACAGGGATTCAGTAAGGAATTCATAAGCAAAAGCCACCACATTGAAACAAATCAACTTCACTGTCACACTACTAAAAATAATATTGATACATTTACAGAGAACTCAGGACATGCCGGGCATCTCTACCTGCCTTATGTGATCCTCACAGAAGTTCTAGGAGATAGGTATATTACATAAAAGCCAAGTGGCCACACACAGTGATGAGAAAATGCAAAGACTCAACTAAGAAAACTGCTCATTTCTCCCACCTGTCAGCTGGACAGGATCAATTCTGCTCCATGAAGCCACTCAGGGACCCAGGCTCCTTCCATTTTATGGCTTTGTTCCCCATAGGTGTTTTCCTGAGCTGCCAGGCTGAAATTAAGCCAGTATCCTTTGTTTTCCCTGCCCAGGTAAGGAGAAAGGAAGGAAAGCCAACACAAGCTATTTTGTTTTTAGCAAGTATCTTTGAAATTTCACAAATCACTTGTATGTATAATCCATTGGTGAGCTCATGGTCACATGGCCATAATTGGCCCCAGTGGAGGCTGGGAAATTGCTTTTGTAGGAGGATGGACAAATGCCTACTTAGAACTCAGTTAATATAAAAGAAGGGGCGAATGGACTTGGGGAGACAGCTGGTAGGCTACCAAAGTAGTACTGTTAATATTCCAATTTTATGGCTGAAGAAACTGAAGTTAGAGAGGTTAAGCCACATGTTCCAAGACACACAGTAAGGAAGTGGCTCTACAGCCTGTTCTCTCTACACCTATGGAAAAGGGATTTTAATTGTGGCTTTATCAAGAAGCAACCATATAACAGAACCCCCCCACCCCGCCATACACACACACACACACACACACATGGGAAAAAAAAAACCTAATAGAAACAAATGTTGCATCACATAAAAGAACCACATTAAAGTCAAGGCCAGAATTCTCAAATCTAATGTGCTGCTTAAAATTCATCTGAAATGTGTATTTGGTTTTAAGAATAATATTTTAAGTGGCTCTTTGAGAAACTCAGGTGTGTATCAGGAATTTATCAGGAGTGCTTAGGACTTTGAAGTTGACTCTCATGAAGAGTGATTCATGAAAACTGCTTGCTTTGACAGCAGGTATACTAAGGTCGGAACCATCCAGAGATCAGTATGGCCCCTGTCCAGGATGATACCCAAAGTTGTGAAATGTTCCTTGTTTTTCAAATCGCATCGTTTTATGCATCTTTAAATATGCCACAGTGAAACTCACCACTCTGTATAATTAATAGGCACCAATTTAAAAATCTGGTGGCTGATTAGGTAGCATGAAACGAAGACTGCAGGGAACCCTGGGCAGAGTCGTTGGAGCATCTAAATGGCTTTTGTGTTGAGGATGGATCATCCTAATTCTGTCTTGCTCCAGAAGCAAAACTGAGGCCTCTGGCTGGAAATTTGAGGGGGACGATTTTGATCGACTCTTAGGAGGGTCTTCCTCATCATCAGAGAGTAGGTAAAGGGGCCTGGAAGCCTTAAGAGGCAGTGAGTGTGGTCTTGCCAGAAATGCTCAAGCTCCTGCTGAATTACCTCCCGTGGGGCATACTGTACTGGCTCTAGGGTGGGACTTGATCACCTCTGGAGTCAGATCCACCTGTGAGGTGTGGACTCCTCGCCAGGGCTGGACCTTCATTCTCTCTCTTCTGCTGCTGCTGCAGGTTCTACGATGAGATCAGGACACCCCTCCTTTCTGACATCCGCATCGACTATCCCCCTGGTATAGTGGAGCATGCCACCAAAACTCTGTTCCCCAACTATTTCAACGGCTCAGAGATCATCATCGCGGGGAAGCTGGCGGACAGGAAGGTGGAGCAGTTGCCCGTGGAGGTCACCGCCAGCAACAGTAAGAAATTCGTCATGCTGAAGACGAAGGTGCCCGTGGAGCCCCAGAAAGTGGGGAATGATGTCCCAGGAAGCCCCAGGCCCAAAGGTGATGGCCAGGGGGACCCCAACCACATCAAGCGTCTCTGGAGCTACCTCACCGTGAAGGAGCTGCTGAGCTCTTGGGTGCAGAGTAATGATGAGCAGGAGAAGGAGCAGCTGAGGCAGAGGGCCCAGGCGTTGGCCGTGAACTATCATTTCCTCACCCCCTTCACATCCATGAAGCTCAAGAAGCCGACTCTCCACACTGGTGGGCTGGAGGACATCCATGGCATGTCTGCTGCCACAGGCCCTGAGATGGTGATGCAGAGCCTGCGAGGAGCCGGCCTGCAGCCAGGTAAGGCAGCTCCAGAAACCTGAGCTCCTGGTGAGGCTGTGGGGACCTCCACAAGTTTATTTATTTATTTTTTATCATACTATAGTTTCTTTTAATAAACCAGAACCCTGCATATAGCAATAGCCTTCAAAGAGTATCTTTGATTTTTGTATTTGTATCATTATAAACTGTGGCTCTTGAGAAATGAGAAAAAATTGGCATGAGGCAAAAAATGCCCATCAGTCAATCATCAATCAGTTGAGGGCCCACCACATGCCAGCCAGTACTGGAGGCCCCGAGATGAGCCCACAGCTATGTTCTGCTTTAGTGCCTTTCAGTGTCCTGAAACACATCAGAGTTGTGTTATTGTGTGCGTGGGATCGATTTCATTTTCTTGAGAAAGTTTTTTGAAGAACCAAGCTAGGGAATCTCGAGAGAATTCACCCTGGACACACCTGCCACTCAAAATCCAACAGAAGCCTCATGCCCAGTCAGTGCCAGTGGACAGGGGGACTTCGCAGAGACGGGAGCAGGAGAAAGGAAAAGTAGTAAAACCAAATCAGAGGGTCACAGTCTAGGTCATGTCCACCGGTAGAAAGTGGCACATTGGTTGGGTGTGGTGTTGTGATGAGGCCGCTGTCAAGTTGCCATCTCCTAGGAAAGGGGACTGAAGTTAACGAGCCCTGGTTAACTGCTGTCTCCTTTATTCCTCACACTCTGAGCTCTGGGAAGCACCTGGGTGTGGCAGAGAGAGCATGAAGTTAGGACCCACCAACCTCCTGACCTGCTGTGAGACCCGGGGCAGGTTCCAGACCCTCTGAGCCTCCGTTCCCTTACTGGGAAATTGGAGGTGGTGACAGGTTCCCTGAGGGCTGCTGTGAGTATTAAGCACAGAGTGTCTTGGGCATGTGACCAGTGTTCTGCAGATCTTAGCCCTCCTCTCTATGAGGCACATCATCGTGTGAGAAGCTCATCAAGAAGCTCAGACCCTTTCAGACAGGCGACACCAAGCTGTGGCTGTGTTAGACTGGCGCCTGTCTGGGGAAGCGAGGGCCGTTTTCATTCTGATAAAAGTCAAGCTGCAGGATGCTGTCACTTCGCACGCAGGAGACTCGTCCCACATCCAAGGAAAATGGCTATTTGAGCAATAAGGACCTTACATAAACTACTCAAGTCTCAGTGGCTTCAGGAGAGATCAGAGGCAGATGACCCAAGACCCAAAGGACCCAGAGCGCAGATGAGGAAATAACCAACTGATTGTTCAAAGGAGAGTTTTGGAGTAAGATTTTTCCTGAATCGTTAGTGATTTTGTAAGACAATCTTCCTGTCGTTAATGCTCTGATGACATTTTAATTTTAATTTTTTAAAGTGCCTGTTGAAACTGACACTTCTCAAAGCAATCATCTGGCCTAAGGACTTCCCCCTCCTTCCTGGCCCATCTGCGCTCTGCCCATGTCGTGCTCTCCAGGGACCAGAATTAGGAAGGGGCACTTAAAACCCATTTAGAGATTTTGATCTTTAATTTTATTTTTCTTTTTAAGTACTGGGGATGGAACCCAGGGCCTTGGGCATGCTAGGCAAGCGCGCTGCCACTGAGCTACGTCCCCAACACTGTTGACCTTTAATTCCTATGAGGGGTGAAAACAACTAAAGAGGAGTGTAATTTTGCTAATGCACCATATGATATTGGTTTTATTTATAGAAATTAATTTACTTTTAGGTTATCATTTAATTGAATATTTTTTAAGGTACATTTTGAATCCTTGGTGTTTCAAAATGTTTTCTGAATTAAGCTTACACACATAGCTCTGGACCCTGGAATATAACTGTCTCTTTTTTTTTATTGCAGTAAAAACTACATAACATAAAATTTACCATCTTAACTGTTCTAAGGGTGCAGTTCAGTAGTGCTGGCTATATTCTCTTCGTTGTGAAATACAGCTTCAGAAAGTTTTTCATCTGGTGGAACCAAAACTCTGTATTCCCTAAACAATAACCCCCTAGTCTCCCTTTACCCAGAACTGTATCTTAAGTGTGATAGACTGTTTCCCCCCTTTTATGTAAACAGAGATCACAGAAAAGAAAAATACTATCTAAATGCTAAACCAATAACATCATCAACCATCCTTGCTTGTTTCTTTGGAGGCCAGACTTTCCCTTTAAAATAGATGATGTTTTGAACAGTTTTTGTTGTTGTTGTTGTTGTTTTTGTTTTTTATTCTTGGTTACAAATGTATCTGAAAACTGAATATTTCTCATCTCAGCCTGCTTCTCCAGGGCCTCTAACAGGATCCTCTTTGATGAATAACTACAGTGTTCTCTTCCTTCTCCTTTTTAGGGCCCACTCTCAAGAAACCATATGACCCAAGAATCAAAATCTCTAAAACATCAGGTAAAGAGAAGGAGGTGGTTTGGTGAATGCGTTGGGAACAAGGGAAATTTGGACAGGGGCCACCAGGAGCACATTTAGGTTAGCAGTTCACAGAACAAGGCATCGTGACTGTATTTATTTAGCTCAGGCCAACAGAGTGCATGCTGAGAACCAGGACCATCTTTAAGCCATTACATAAACACCGTGGAGAGCACACAGTCCCCAGGAAAGCCTGGCGCAACAGCCCTGGTGGAAGAAGAGTCGAATAACAGACATCTTCTGTGCTTAAAAGGCATTGGTTTCAGGGGTCTGGAGTGTGTGTGCTTCCAGCCCCTGGTGTCATGAATACAGAAGTGGTATTTTAGAAATTTTTGTTGAGGTAAGCAGGATTTCGTTGTCATTGTTTTGTAATCCCAAACTTCAGAAGGAAGAACAGATTAAAAACATCATAGAGTTTCCTTTTGGCAGCTTCTTGGTATTATGATAAAAATGGAAGAGCAGCGTTAGGGGCGCTGGGCTTTTATTTTCCAATGTACACGTCTTCCCTTCTAAGTCTCACGATCCCTCTGCCAATGTACTGTACGTGCAAATTCTTAAATCCAGGGACGTACTAGAGATTAGCTATGGGGATGAAATGCGTAGTCTCTCATGGATAGAATGCAATTCCTTGAACATGTGTGCTTTGTGGAATGCAAGAAAACCTTCCTCTTGGATGCTGCCTGCAGTAATCACTTTTGGACTCCTCTTTTTTGGAACAAGCAGAATCTTTCCTTGTAAAGGGATTTGGATGATTTAAATAGAAGTGGGTGTCGTAGTGTGTACAGAAAGTCTCAAAGTACTGTCAGAGAGTGCCAAAAATGTGGGAGAGAACTTTTGTTTCCTCTGGGTATCATTCCCCTCCACCCACCATCTGAAGACAGATACCTTTTATTTCTTTATATGTTGCCATTCACAGGGGACATGAGGCACTTCACAGTGAGAGTAGCCAGATTTTCTCAAGGGATCTTCTGAGTGATGCTGGAGGCAGATAGAGTTTTTCTGCAGGTATAAGGAGGATGGGAAGTTGTTTAGAGCTTGAAAAGACCAGACTTCTCCTGACCCAAACCTCTGCTGTACCTAGGCGCATTCTCATGCATGTATACACATTCACGAAAAACAGAGAGGGGTTCCAAAACAGGCTGTGTCTGGTGTGTAAGTCAGAAAGTACATCTCCAGTCCAGTGAGAGAAGGGAATTGATGTAGACTCTTGGGAAATAGTTGATCTGTACAACAAGACACAGGCTCTTCATCTTTGGCAGAGGTGAAAAGGGGGAGAAATGGACAAGGGACGGGGGCCAGCTGAACTTCATCTGTGGACAAAAATTTGAGAGCAGTAAAGTCAGTGTGACCTATGAGAGTGATTTCTGCCCTCATCGCTGTCACTGCCGAACCTAGTGCTTCACCTGTCACTGCCCGTAAATTGGGCTTGGCTTCTCAGGACCTGCCCGCTAGGATCGCAGACAGCTGGCACTGGGAATGTTTGTGAGACAGACTGGGGCTTCCTGGGAGAAGCGCTAAGAAACTCTTGCCATAGATAAGAAGAGGCTGCATTCTTAGACTCAATATCTTTATTTATTTATTTATTTATTTTTATGTGGTGCTGAGGATCAAACCCAGTGCCTTACACATGCAAGGTAAGTGCTCTACCACTGAGCCACAACCCAGCCCCGAGGCTGCATTCTTCAGGTGGGCAGTGAGAGGAAACCCACCCAGGATGTTGGGGACTGCACCTCTCCTCCCCGTCACACCCCTCCTCCTCTTAGGCCTGGCTCTATACACTTAACTGAGGCCTGGTGCAAGAAGTACTGGATTTGGACTTAGGAGGCCTGAAGTCCGTATTTACTTTATGTGGGCTCACTGGGAGACTTTGGAGAGTCACTTCTCTCCCTTGTTTAGAAATTGAGAAAACTGTTCTTCCACCATTGTCCTAAGGAGCAAAGAAATGATGGGTGAGAAAATAGAGAGGAGTATTTACACACGGAAGACAGCCAATAAATGTCTGCCTTTCTCTCTCCTTTTTCTCCCGTCCTGGCAGTGGATGGTGACCCCCATTTTGTGGTGGACTTCCCCCTGAGCAAACTCACCGTCTGCTTCAACATCGATGGGCAGCCTGGGGACATCCTCCGGCTGGTCTCTGATCACGTGCACTCTGGTGAGCTCTGCCCTCCCTCCCTCGTGGCATCAAGGCAAGGAGGGGCCTGGGAGGGGCTGCACACCCCCCTCCCCCCGTTCTTGGGACACATGGAAGAGGCTCAGTGGGTGCCACTGATGAATGAAGGGCAGTGGACATTGTTCTTGGACTTGGAGTCAGAGACCGGGACATTCAGACCCACTCTAATGACTTCGGTGTTGTGTGGCCTTGGACTGCAGTTGTCTCCCTTGTAAAATAGAGATTGTGATACTCTGCTGGTCCCACAGGGCGATTATGAAATGGATTAAATTAAATAATGGACATAATTTGGCTTCATAAATGCTTAAGAAACTCATGAAGTTATTATTGTCTTTTCATTGAGAAGCTGTGATGGTGGAAAAGCCAGAGGCCCAAACTCATCGATCTCAGTTCCTTGGTGACGTAGATGAGAAGCCCAGAGGTTAACCACACAGTCCTGTGTGCTGTGAGCACAGATGTAAAGAGACCTCTGGACCCCATGGGCTGGGGAGAAGGACTGGGTAAAAGAGGTTGGCACAGAAAAAAACTTTTGGAGTTCAGTGCCTGTAGCAATGCTTGGGGACAACTATATAGACAGCCACACAGCATGGCTTTGTGAGGACAAGCTTGGGAGTGGACCTTTCTGGTATTTGTGAGTGCTGAGAAAATAAGAGTTGTGGAAGGTCAGTCTACATAGGTCCCAGGTGGTAGGTATGTTGAGATTAAGGAAAGTTTGACCCTGGGTCTCCTTTATCACATTGTTCTTTTGAGGGTCTTTCTAGTCTTAGAGCTATATTTTCTAATGTTTCTCATCTAAAAGGGTGCAGGAATAAGATAGGGGCCTAACTGCAGCCCTTCCTGGAAGTATCCCCTCTCTTTGGAGCTATTCCATGGTTTCTGTGTTCTGCCCAAGATGGGAACTCAGCCTGGAAGTGCTTGGAGCATGGCTGTGCTCTGGCAGGGATTCTATCTCTCCAATCCTCACCCCCCCACACACACACACACCACACTCCTTGTCCCAGGGAAGACCCTTTTTCTCCTTGAATACCTAAGAAGTTACAGTCAAGATTTACTGGGGAGATGATCCCAAAGTAGAGAACACAAGAGTTAATTATATACCAATCTTTTGTTATTGAAAATTGCCTCTTGGCATAAGGGCAAAGCCCTCGTAGCACACATCACTTAATTCACTGCTGCAAGCATCTCCTGTGCACTTGCGAGTGTCTGTTATTCAGCCTGACAGCACGGAGCCCTGGGAGCTGGCTGCCAGCCTTACTAAGTCCAGAAACGCTTGTGTTCTTAGTGGCACAGGAAAACAACAACAACAACAACAAAAAAAAAAAAAAAAACACAGGAGTTATATTTGATGGCAGTTGACAGCTTATACATATGCTTCCTTTTGCGATCCTTACAAAACTTTAGTTTGCGATTATATCTTCCCGATTTTACATGATGAAGGAATTGAGGCTTAACTTTTTCCAATGACTTATTTAAGGATGAACACCTCGGACATGGACAAACTTGAGTTTTGGGATTGAAAAACATTCTAGCATCAGTGGTCTCTGAATTAGGATCTATGGCTACTGGTAGATACAAAATATTTATCAGGACCACTGAATCTTTCTCTTCTATACCCAGGCTGAAATGAAAGCACACAAACATTCAGTCCCCTTCTGTGATCTTGATCCCAGCCTCAATCTTCTTCCCTTGTTTCAAGAATGTGGTCAGACCATGGGGCAGAAAGCTCAAACATGGCTACCAGTGATCCCGCACCCATTCACTCATTCAGCCATCACTGAGCAGCTTCTATTACTGAGTCATTCCTGCTAGAGAAACAAAGATCAGGAAGGAGGAAGGAAATTCTGACCAGAGGCCTTTGGGGGTTGGGGATTGTGTTTCTAACCATTGTTCTCTTCCCCTGGGCTTCAAGGTGTGACAGTGAATGGAGAGTTAATCGGGGCCCCCGCCCCACCTAGTGGTCACAAGAAGCAGCGCACCTACTTCCGCACCATCACCATCCTCATCAACAAGCCGGAGAGATCATACCTGGAGATCACACCCAACAGGGTCATCCTGGATGGTGGCGACAGGCTGGTCCTTCCCTGCAACCAGAGCGTAGTGGTGGGGAGCCGGGGGCTGGAGGTGTCTGTGTCTGCCAACGCTAACGTCACTGTCACCATCCAGGGCACTATTGCTTTTGTCATCCTCATTCACCTCTACAAAAACCCAGCGCCCTTCCAGAGAAACCACCTTGGCTTCTACATCTCCAACAGCAGGGGCCTTTCTAGCAACTGCCACGGTCTCTTAGGTAGGCAGCTGCTCATCTTCACGCTGGGCTTGGAGCATGGAATTAGATTCTCAAAGAGAAGCCCCTACTCCCAATCTCTTCAGCTTGATTGAGGAATCCAATAGCAAATGTGGTCCTTATGTACATAGCTGTTCCTTGGCATCCACCAGGGACTGGTTCCAGGATTCCCTGAGATACCAAAATCTGAGGATGCTCAAGTCCCTCAAATAGCCTAGTAAGCCAGTGGAAGTGGTACACACCTGTAATCCCAGCCACTCAGGAGGCTAAGGCAGGGAGGATCGAAAGTTCAAGGTCAGCCTGGGCAGCTCTGTAAGAAACTGTCTCCAAAAAAACAAACAAACAAAAAAATCAAAAGGACTGGGGATATAGTTCAATAGTATTCCTAGTACAGTAATAAATAAATAAATAAAATGGCATAGTACTTGTGTAAAACCTACACCCATCCTCTCATGTGCTTTACATCGTCTCTAAATTATATTATACCTCATAGGATGCAGTGTGAATAGCCGGTATTCTGAATTGTGTAAGGACTAATAACAAGGAAAAAAGTATCTATATGTTCAATAGAGATGCATTTTTTTTCCTGAATGTTTGATCCACAGTTGATTGAATCCAAAGATGTGCAATCCATAGATATGGAGTGCTGAGTATGTGTATATGAAAATTGGATTTTGGGCCTCCTGATGACTTTCTGGAATAGGAGTGGCTGTTACAAACCAGCTCTCACTAGTCTCTGGGAGAGCAAAGCAGTGGAGGATAATCATCTTAGGCTGTTTCCTTGTTCCTCTGCAAGGAGACACAGAAAAAGGGCAGCCCACTACCCTCCCGGCATGAAAGTGTTTTGCATTTCATAGGAGTCATCCACACTGATGCTGTGAGCAGCGGGCAGGACCCTCTGGCCAACGTCCTTCAACGTGTAATTTCATGTGGGCTCCTGGCCCAAAAATGAAGGTCGAGCCATTGCCAGGGCTCTGTTTAGAAAGCAGGATTTCCTGGCACTTGAGTTGGACGCATTTTGCCGTGCCTGGCTGCCAAACATGCTCCCCGTCTCACAGATGCAGATCTGTGTCCCATTGGCCTCAGCAGTACCCTCGCCTGACCTGGAGAATTCTGAGGACAAGTGTCAGGAGTGAGCTGACTACTTTCCATATCCCACCCAGGTGCACCCACCACGTCTTGTTCAAATGGGGACCTATAACAGGGAAGGAAGAGGGAAGACCTGACCCTTTGCCCAAAGCCCTCTTCTTGTCCTCACCGTTCAACCAGAGAGTGTTTGTCCCCATTTGTTGTTTAGGTGACGACGTCTCAATGTTAGCAACCAGGCAGCTTCCAGAAGTGTCCATCACTACAAGTAGCAGCTTAGCTCTTTATTCTTCATTTTAGGGACCATGTGTGAATGCAGTCCACCTAGGGACTGGTAGTCCTGTTAACCCATCTCATTGACTTAGACCTATTGCACCTGTTGTCTGCATTCAGCATGCATTGATGCTTTTATTTATTTATTTATCTACTATCTATTTATTTTTTGTCTTCTCAGGTCAGTTCCTGAACCAGGATGCCAAACTCACACAGGAGCCTGCAGGGCACAGCAAGAATCTTACCAATTCTCCACTCCCGCCAGCAGGAGGGACTTCTGAGACCATCCTAAAGGTGAAAGGGCACCGAGTCCCAGTGGTGTGGAAACAAAGGAAGATTTACAACGGGGAGGAGCAGATAGACTGCTGGTTTGCCAGGAACAATGCCGCCAAACTGATTGATGGGGAGTATAAAGATTACCTGGCATCTCATCCGTTTGACACAGAGATGACATTGGGATCCGAAACCAGCAGCCTTAATTCATAAGAGCACGTGAAACGGAAGTGACTTTGGGGGCCGCAGTGGGGCAACTCTTCTTGTTGCTTGTGCACACCTGGTTCTTGCAGTGAGCTGCGCTCCAGAGCCTAACCCTGCTGGGGTGGAGCTCTGGTGTCTGCTTGGGCAAGGGGCTGGGGCAGGAAGCTCTAGAGAAAATATTGTTTCTTTCTCCTTCCTCTCTCCCTTGCCCCCGCCCCCATCTACAGTAGAGGAAAATGGTAGTGCCAAGGAGAGAAAGGTCATATTTAAGAGCAAGAAAGTTTGTATCATATACCATCTGTCTCTCCCATCTTGTAGCCTACCAAACAGTAACCTTTTCTGATGATGCGAGGTTGCTTGAAAGGGTTTTCTCTGTAGAAACAGCCAAGTGCAGGCCCTCTGCTTTTTGCCTTATATTCATGCATAGAAATCTCTTCCCTGCCCCCACCCATTGACCCTGGGCCACAGGCCATACAGACAAAACACACATTGGATCATTTAAACAATTAAATCTTTTTTTAGGAGAGGATTTTCCTCTGCTGTGGAATCTTACTCATTAAAATTAATTTCATTTTTAAATTTTTAAAAACAAATTTAAAAATATTTTTTTAAATGTAGAAACATGTACATCCCAGATACCAATCTCTTTCCTTTTAAAGAGCTTTATAAACCACTTGTTTTTGCTGGTGAATATTGGTGCAATTTATTCCAATAAGCTGAGTGCTTTTGATAAACAGGAAAACCCCACGTGGATAGTGTTTATTGGGCCGTCTTGGTGCTGGGGAGTTGGCCAGTTGAAAGGCAAATTGTTAGCTTGGAACTCTTCAGTCTCTGTCAGGATTTCTGGGCCATTTTTGACTTCACCGTCCAGGAGCTGAGGGAGGGCTCTGGCATGGCGCTGGCCTGTAAGGTAGACCTGGCTCAGAGGGAGCCCGGGTGTAGGAAGAATCAGCTTGCATGTTGTCAGTAGGAAAGGCACACATGTCAGAAAACCTAATGGACTTCCCACTTCTTAGATGGGCAAAAGCCAGGAAACCAGCATGAGCAGGGAGCGTTGGTTCCAGAACTTGGGCAAACCTGATCCCCTAAGGAAAGTGTTAAAATCAGAGGGGCTACAAAAAAAAAGGCATTTCCTTCCGAATGCCCTTCGTAAAGCCTGGCCATATCACCAAGGGGAACGAGGTGTGATGGGCAGAGAGCCTCTGTGCTCCTCTTTGTAGCACTTCTCATTCTGCTGGGCTTGGTCTTCTCAGAGTCACTGGTTGGAAGCAGATGGACACAGTGGGCAGTTGAGCCAAACAGCAGAGAAAGACAGACTGTGGTCAGGGAAACAGCATATTTTGATGTGGGACAGAGTGAAAGGTTTTGTACGCGCTCACGTGGGGTTTCCTCCGTCCGGCCTGGTGCCAGGGCAGCCTCTGCATGAAACGGGAAGGCATGCGCAGCACCTGAGAGACCACCGAGCGGAGAAAATTGTTTATCGTATTTACCTTCCTGTGGGAAACATCCGTGCAGTGAAATGACATCCTCATGCTCCCATCAGAGGCTGGATTCGGAAGCCAGTTAGCGCCAGGTGATGGTACCGTCCCTCTCAGGGCCTCCTTCTGTCTGCACTTACCCACCCACCTGACCACGGCCTGTCAGCTGTGTTATTTATCTGGCTCCCATCTTACCAAACTCAGCTGTCTGCTTTCCTGCCACATAGGAAAACATATGACAGATGTTTCCATATTTTAAAGCTCAGAAAAAGAGGAGGGACACAAGCCAGGGCTGACCAGTGCCGTCCTGGTCAGATTCCCTGGACCTTCCATTATATAAATCCCAGCTGAGCAGACAACACTAATGCCAAGAGGCCCAGGCCCCTATGCTGCACGTGGGGCGATGGTCTGTTGTTCCAGGTGTTGGCCTCACACTGGAGAGAGAAGGATGTCATTAGGCAAGCCCGGTCACTACTACAGCAGAGAAACATATTCCAATGAGAAACTCAGCAGTAACTGTCCAGCTCAGACCAAAAAAAAAAAAAAATTACTGTATCAAAGAGGAGCTTTTAAAGTTATGTTTTTACTTTAGACAAACACCAGTCCTGTTTCTCTGCTTTAGTTGTAGATCATTCTTTATTTGCAGAAGGTATTTATCATTGAATTTTCTGTTGGAGCTGGAAATTCATATCTGTGAGTACAAAACCCCACACCAGTATAATATGTAGGACTTTTTAATTTGGTTGGAAAATGTGCTTTTTTTAAAAAATTAGCCACATGTATTATAAATGACAAGCTCTTTAAAGCAAATGCAGAGAAAAAGAGGAATTCTCTTGTCAGACAGAGAAACTAAGGCAGGGTGCAGTTGAGTGATTTTGCTAAAAGGCTTAGAGCAGGGGGAGGCTGAACTGCCTGAATCCATTTTGTTAGCTTTGACATTTTTTCACCATCTGGTCAATCATTTATTTTCCTTCTGCTTTTTTTTTTAAAAAAAAATACTGGAAGGTTATTAAATGAGTAATTGAATGGAACTGAGAAAAATGTTGAAGTTAGAGGAGATAAATCTCCCTGTTATCGTAATAGCTCATGTTAATGAGTCATAATGGATCTTGAGCAAGTCCACATCTCTGGGTTCCAACCTCCTCCCTCCTCTAACAGAGGCCTCTGAATGGGTCATCTTTAGGGGTCTACTAATTTAAAGTTTCATATCCCCCAAATAAAACGGGCTGAGCATTCCCTGTCTGCCATGCCTGGTGCCTTATCTTCCTCTGTCTGACTTGGGTGTGATTTTCCCCTGCAGGCTAGAGGGTGAGGTGTTTGGGAGGACAGACCAGCACAACACTCCATCAGAGCTGGCCAGCTGTGAGGGAGGATGCTGAGGACTGAGGATGCAGGGGACTTGGGGAGAACTCCTCTTTGGTCCCATATCAGGAGGAACATAAAATATTTACTTGAATCGTGCCTTTATAGGTGGATTAGGAACAGGATTCTCTATATTTTGGCCTAACTGACTGCTGTGGAACAAATTCCTGTGTTCTTCCAAAATTTGTATGTTAAAGCCTAAGTTCTCAATGTGATAGTGCTTGGAGGTGGGCTCTTTCAGAAGTGATTAGGTCCTGAGGACAGAGCCCTCAGGGATGGGATTAAGGCTCTTCTAAGAAGAGACAAGAGAGATCATCTCTCTTGCTTCTGCCATGTAAGAGTAGAATGTTTGTAGGCCAGGAAGCTAACCCTCACCAGACACCAAATCTGCTGACACCTTGATCTTGGCCTTCCCAGCCTCCAGACCTGTGAGAAATAAACGCTTGTCGTTGAAGCCACCCAGTCCGTGGTAATCTTGTTATAGCAGCCTAGGCTGAGGAAGACAATCATTATGCATTCTTTTTCCTTTCTCTGAACTACCCAGAATGTACCCAAACAATGCTACTATTAAAATTTGAAAGACTCTTAGAACCATAAGAACACCATCTAGCTAAAATAAACAGCAAATAAAATAACACAACTAAGCAAATACTTAGAAATTCAATTTTAAATATTTATTTTAGCAACCCGTTTTCAGTTATAAGGAGGATACAAGATAGTTCACATTTCAAGAAACATTTTTTCTTAAACAAAAATTTGTAAAAAATAAATGATGTCTAAAAATAAGTAATGAGGTGTTTGTTTTTTGAGGGAAAATAGGATCAGGACTAGGGAGAATAAAGCAATGATCCTAACAGTGCTGCTTGTATGTAGGTCTTTCTGAATTGCAGTCATGAGCTGCATAATGATGTTTTGGTCAACAATGGATGGCAAGTTAGGACAGTAGTCCCATAAGAGTTTAATGGAGCTGAGAATTTTCTGCCGTCTATTATTTTTTGCTGTACCCTTTAGATGTGTTTATATGCATAAATACTTTGCAATTTATTTGCTTACAGGATTCAGTACAGTAACATGCTGTTCATGCTGGTAACCTAGGAGCATGGGATATACCACAGAGTAGGTGCATAATAAACTATGCCATCTAGGCTTGTGTGACTGTACTTCATGATACTCTCAGAGTAGCCTGTGACACATTTCTCAGAATGTATCCCTGTCATTAAGCAATGCATGACTGTATGTAAAATGATATGAGCATGGATTAGTGACATTGGAAGAACAATGTTAAAGTAACACATTATTGTACAGTAAGACACAGCAAATTTATGGTGGCCATTCCTGTGCTCTTATAAAACTGTGACTTAGGGGTATCTTAACCACCCTACTCCCCACCCCCAGTGCACTACTGTGTGAGGACACCAGCACCCCAAACTCTCTATCACCTTCTCACTGGGTCACTCATTTGTGCACCCTTTGCCCACCATCTCAGCTGATGCTTCTTCCATTTGGCTTGGACCTTGCCAACCTAGGTACCATTTCTAGCTTTTTCTGACGTCTTACCTCCAGTTCTGAGCACTCCTGTCACATCTTGATTAGATTCTATTTGAGCTATGATAAATTCTGAATAAAAACGGTACCTGACTTAAACCAAAACAACCCTGAGACACAAGGGAGACATCACTGCAGACTGCGTTAAATAGAAAACAAGCCAACAATCCATTATCAAGGACTTCAAGTCAACCTGTTTGGGCTTCAGCTTCTTTAGCTTCTTATAGTTATGGAGGAGATAACTTCTAAGATCCTCTGATCTTTATCTTTTGCCTTCAGATGAAAAAAACTTCCTCAACCGCCACAAGATAAGTTAGGAAAGTATTCATTCAGTAACCCCAGAGAATTTGCAGTTCCAGTGTACCAGGCCCAGGGATCCAGAGAACAAAGTTCCTGCCTTCACAGAGATCACAGAACGGAGAACGAGTGCAAAGGTTTAATGAATACTGCAGGAGAACTTTGCCGAGAGCTGTTACCTGAGCATAGTAGAGGGACAACTCGGGAAGGTAAGAGGGAGGTCAGGAAACTATTCCAGGGACAGAGCTTTGAGCTAAGCTGCCAGGAAGGAGAGTATATAAAAAAGCAACCCCATAGGACTTGTTTTCTATAATGGTAGGCAACTGGGAGCACCTTCCAAATGGAAGCAAGCTCCTCACTGCATGCATTCAGGTGCAAATAGAGCTGTTGATTGAATGGTTTCTGGGAACTCACACTATAGAAAATGCTTGGTGGAATACTAGGTTCCTGACTCCCTGCACCCCGTCCCCATGCATGGATCTCCAACCATGTCCACATCATCTGTTTCCTTTACTCCCACTCCTGGGATGCAGAAAGCATCCAGGGAAGGTCCCATGACTCTACCATGGGTCCACGTAGTCAACAGGGCTCCTGCTGGCATTGATTTTTCTGTAAGTATATTGACCTTAGTGGCCCTTCTTATTTCCAGCTTTGGCTCTTACAAGACCCTGCAGCTTTCCGTAGCACCTCTGCCTCCAATGCTGACGAGAAAACTGAGGAAGGACCCAGCACCCCCTCATTTACTATCCCTTATCAAAGGGCTTCTCTCTTCCCATGGCTTCCTCATCTTGGTACCTCCCTTCATTCTAGAGGTGACCACCCTCCTGTGTTCTGGGTCCCTTCCCTTCTCAATTCCTCTAGGTGGTTGCCTCAGCCATTCTCTCCAGACTCTTGTTCCCCACCAGGTCCCTCTCTCCCAATTTCAAATGCAAGTGGACTATCTATCCCTTCTCCAAAATGCTTGAGACCAGAAGGGTTTCCGATTTCTGAGTTGTTTTGGATTTCTGCATATTGGCATAGACTTTACCATCATGTCAGCGTTTGACAAGTTTCTGATTTTGGAGCATTTCAGGTTTTGGATTTTCTGATCAAGGATGCTCAACCTGCACCATTCCAAAATAGTTTCATTCTACCCTGAAATGATTATCCCTTGATTGGGCTCCCTTACAGCTTCTATCTTGTTTCATATTTCTGTGTCAACTTTGGTGGATGGTACTTGACACCTCTTTTTTCTTACCTCCTAGTCCATTGCTTCAATCTCAGATTCGGCGTCTGCCTTCATGGTGTTCGGGAACCATACCTTAGACATCCTGTTACCATTCCCTGCTTCCGAAGTTAACGGCAGTACCTTCAGCATGACTCTGGTGGCCTCTTCCCCCTTTTTTGAAAAGCTGGATCCTTTTGCTTCTTTTATGTAAATCTTTTCTAGCCTCATTTGATGAATCTCTTTCCTCCTACCAATCTGTGGATTACCCTGAGGTTCTTCCATGGTCCCTGGATCTGGAGTGTCCTTCAGAGTCTCTTGTGGAAAGCATGAGTCCCAATGCAGAAGTTCAGAGGTGGGGCTTAGGCAGTGATTGGACGATGCGGGCTGTGACCTGTTCAGTGCGCTTCAGACTGATCCATTCAGAACTGAATGGACTACTGGGAGGTGGGACCCATTTGGAAGAAATAGGTCACTACAGCCATACCCTAGAAAGGTTTCTCTTCTCCCCAGCCACTTCCATGAGTGCTCCCCGCCCCACTCGCTACTTCCTGGTCAACAAATGCTGAGCAACCCACAAGCCTTTCCACCATGATGTCTCACCTCAGACCCAGAGCAATGGACCCCAGTGATCATGAGCCAAAATAAATTTTTCCTCCTCTGAGTTGTTCTTTGTCAGTTATTTTGGTCACAGGAATGAGAAGCAAACTAACACAGCCCCCTACACTCTCTCTTTGAGTGACCTCATGCACTTCATGGTTCCCACAGGTGGCTCTGCATACATAGATGGCTCCCATATATAAATCTGCAGTGTGAACTTCTCTTCTGACTTCTCTTCCCTTTAGTTATTCTGCAGCTAAACTAAATTTCATCTTCAAAGTGTCTACATTCATCATATGGGTGGGTATTTGGGGATTGAAGATCTAGAAGAAAAGGAAGGAAAAATTCCAGCCCCATCTTTGTTATTTTTTTAAAGGCATGATTTTTATTGATTTTAATAATTTCATCTTTGCTATTTTTGATGTTGCAAATAAAGGTTGAAATATATGTGCTAGGTGAATTTCACAGAGATCACAGAATGTGGAAAGGAAGCAAACGCCAAATTAATTTTTATTGACACAGCGTTCTTCCTGAAATTTCTTGGTTAATCATATTATTTTCTCAAAACAACAGCTGTGTTTGTGCAAGAAAAGATCCAATATTCTGATGGCTCACTGGGAATTTCTGGTTATATAAGTTGAAAATCACATGTGTGAAGTTTATTTACATGCCCATTACATGACTTCATTGAACTATGAGTGTAAAATTTGTTGTAAATACATTTCAGTATGCTTTTAAAAATAAATTTTATTTGAAATACATAAGAGCAATGTATAAAATACAATACTCCAGATACTTGAGTGTGAATGATGGTCTGAATGCTACACAAATATACATTTGTCTTGTTAAATTTCCGTTTGGAATTTTGCCTCACTTTTCTATGATCTTTCAGCCATGAAGTTAGCATGAGTTCTATAAATGTTAAAAAAACAAGAGATCACACAGTGCTCAAGTCCAGCTTCTATTCCAAAGGCCATATGGAAAGTTACAGAGGAAACCAGCTTTCCACTGGAGGGCAAAAACAGTGAGTCAGTTCAAAAGTGAAGTGTATTTGATTGTGAAGAAGGTTCGTGCCCAGGAATATTCTAGAAACTGAAAGTTCTAGAACTTGTAGGTAACTACTTATCCTTTCAATCTCTTCATGTGCATGCTTGGAAAACTAAAGTAGAATACTTGGAGAACATGTTATGAAGAAAACATAGGATAAACTTTGTACTTTTATTGAATGACAGTTTTCTAAATTGTTCATGAAATTTGCCCATCAGAGAGAAAAAACGCTTCAAAATATATGCATGTACTTATTCTTGCATTTAAGAATAATGTTTAGTGAGCACCAAGTACGTATAAGGCTATAGCATCCCTCCCCTGCAGCCCTGGAGATAATGTTTTATGTAATTAGTACAAAACAAAACAAAACAAAAAAAAAATAGACAGCAGTCTATCTTACAGACATTCAGAGAAAACAGGGGGCTAAAAAGAGGGTTCTATAGGGGTTTAAAGGTAAAGATTGTTTTCAACCTGGAATAAAAGAAGAGCTGGCATTTGATTTAGATCTTACAGGACTGGTCAGGTTCAGAGGGGGAAGAAGATGTCTGGGAGCATTTCATGTAACAACTGATTTATTCTTCATAAAACACTATAAGTAAGAGGGAAATACATAGTTTAGAAGTAAAATTTTGGGGAAATTTTATCACTGCTGTTGCCACAGAATCAGTCTTGGGGGGCGGGCTGCCTGGCTGCAATGCTCTTCCTCCTTTTAGGACTCTGGGATGCTGTGGACAAACAAAACAGCTTCTACTGTGATTCCATGAGCTGCTGGGCCATGAGACCGGGGACCACCTGTATCCAGCAAATGCATCACAGGCCTGAGAGGATAAGAAAGATGGCAGGGGTCTTGCTTATGCCTCCCAGTGACAGTGATTTCAAAATCGTATTGTGTTTTTCCATCTAAAAGCAGTGTCCATTGTACAGAACTGTCCTGCTGCCATTGCCACTGGTCAGGGTGGCAGTGGACAGGGAGTTCTGATTCATGGACATGATTCCAAGCTTCCTTTGCAATCAAATCACTGTTAGAAGGATGTGGGGAGAGAGCCAGACTGGGGGTTAGATTCATAGAAACAGAAAGAGAACTCATATGCATATTGAGTGGCTCTTAAATGTCACTTGTCTTCTTGGGAACACATGATTAATGAGCCAGTTTGAGCTGGCAGAGAGCATCCTGCTAAGGTGGAAGCAGCAAGAACTTCCTTTTTCTGTCAGACTCCAGCTGCAGCAATGGGGAGACACCCAGTCAGCAAGTCCCAGGAGTTTTGCAGGGAGTAAGAAAGGAAAGAGGTGAACATGGACTTGAGATGGGGGCCCCAGGCAAATGAGAGCATGAGTTTCTAATAACTGGAGGGAGGGGAAACAGGGAGGGGGTGGCAAAGAATACCACAACCAAAGGTAAAATACTTGGAAAAAAAAAGTTTCCTGTGTCATTGCCCAGTGTCCTTGAATGCCCTTGCTCACCAAAGCTCACTATGATGAATGATACAAAGTCAAAGTGGAAACCCACATTTAGGAAAGATAGCCAGTTCCTGAGGATCTGCTGGAAAGTCCCTGAGCTTGGTTTCCTGTGCAGGTGGGTGGGCTCTCTGTCCCTCCCTTCATACCCCTGGGCTAGGAGACCCTTCCAGTCCAATCCTTTAGTCTGGTTGGCTCATTCGTGTGCAGCATGTCTGGCTATTTCCACTCCTGGCACCTCAGTCCTGGAGTTTGGAGGCAAATGACAAGGGCGATGGAGTAAGAAGCTCTTTACTGGTCAGTAGGGAGCAGGAGCTCAAAGGGACTTTGAAAGATCACCAGGTGATTCTTAATGCCTTTCTGCCTGGTGCACTTGGATCAGGTGATGAAAAATTAAATCGCGGGACTTTCTCATAGAAGAAAAGGAGAAGACGAGGAGGAGAAAAGAAAAGAAGAAGAAGTAGAAGCTAAATGAAGGTCATTAGCCATGAGATCTCTCAGTAAAGTCATCCCCAGCAGAAAGTTCTTTGCCGCTGTATTCTGGGGGCATTCCAAGCCCACCATGCCCCTGCACTGGAGAGTCCCTGAATGATCCCTCTGGAGAATCCCTGAATGATCTCACTATCCAGTTGACTCCCAATCGCTGGGTCCTTTCAGCAAACAGAGTGTAATTCTAGGCACCTCCCTTGATTGTTTTGCTTTTGGTCTTCTCTCCCTTACAGCCCTTCAATCCCCCGCCTGCACTTCAACATTTAGACCAAGGCAGTTCCCAAGATCTTTCTGTGAGGTCAGGGCGAGGAGAGCCTATTCTTTCTTACTTACAGGGTCACGGTGGGGCTTCACACCCGGTGACCTGCGGGTGACCACACAGTGAGTGCAAAGCAGGGCCTGGGTCACCCCTCCCAGCTCGCTTGGGTCGGTTCCTCCCCAGGCAAACGCCTTGGCGCCCCTCTTGGGCCGGAGCCTGCTAGGATTACAGCTGAATGCACTGGTTAGAAAGGAAGAAAGAAAATCCCGCAAGTTAAGTAGAGTCAATTCCTGTCCCCACACGGTGGGTCCCGGGCGGCTGTCGCTGCCCCGCTTGCTGGCGAAGAAAGGAGCTTATTATGTGCGGGCGGAGAGGGGGGCCGGGAGGTGTTAAGCAGAGAAAACGGGTTGAAATTCGAGTCCGGGCGATGCTGGCAGCCCGGCGCCTGCTGTTAGACAGTCCGATGAACCCTGATAAACCCAGAGGCGCTTTCCCGCACCCCCGTGCAGCCCGGAAACTTTAGCACCGGGTGTAGAGGGGAGGGCGCCTGAGGAGGGTGCCGGCAGAGGGGAGAGAGCTGAGCTCTGGACCCCAGGCCGTGCCCTGGCTCCTGGTTCTGGTGACAATGACACAGGGTCTGCACTGGAGGGTGCAGGGCTCCCGAAGGCCCTGAGGATGGAGCCACTTAAGGGCGCGATCTGGACAAGGACCCCTTTCTGGGACATTGTCAGCTGCACCATCCTCCCAGAGCAGCTGGAGAGGACCCAGGCAGGCTCACACATACCCCCATATCCCCTTGCAGTCGGGGACCCTGGGACAACCACCCTTCTCAGTAGCATTCAGACTTCTGTGGTTCATTTCAGGCCACGGTGTCCCCTGCCCAAAGATATGAAGGTAGGTAATGCCACCCAACCACATGTTTAATTAAGGAAGGTTAAAGCAGTATCCTGAAGAGTGTCCTGAAGAGAGACGTACAACCATGTTCGTAGCAGCATTATTCCAACAACCAAAGGTGGAAGTAGCCCAAAGTCCACGGAGGGACGAATGGATGAATCAAATGTGGTATATACATGCAGCCTCAGGGAGGAGGGACACTGATACACAACAGGGTGGACCTGGGGGGTTGGGGTGGGGGCTTTAGGCTAAGTGAAATGAGCCAGTCTCAGAAAGACCCATATGGTAGACTCCACTTATATGAGGTACCAGGGTAGCAACAGACACAGGAAAGGGAGTGGTGGTTGAGGGATTGTGAGGAGGAAGAGGGAAACTCAGGGGAGGACAGACTTCAGTGTTTCAAGAGGAAAAGGTTCTGGAGATCTGTTGCATGGCTACACTGAAGATCCTTAATTGTCACTGAAGTGTGTGCTGGAAAATGGCTTAGCTATTACATTATGTGGTTTTTACCAAGCAAAAAAAGTGTGTTTGGGTGGGTGGTGGGGGGAGTAACCACAGGGGACAATAAAACTTGAAAAAATTGCACAATGAAAGAAAATTACAGATAAAACTCATGGACATTGAGGCAAAATTTTTAGATAGTTTTAACAGAATCTAACTAAATTAAAAGAATAACATACAAAAATTAGTTAAAATGGTAAATTTTATGTTACATATATTTTACCCCACAATTTAAAAAAAAAAAAAAAAATCCTCTACCCTCTAACCAAAATCTTTAAGGGCTGATCAGGACCCAGAGTGAAGAGGGTAAGCTGGGTGGCAGGGGCCAAACCAGTGACCACAGGTGACCTTACAGCCTGGGAAGTCCCAGTCAGGACTGCCAGAACTGTCCAGACCCTTCCTTCCATCAGTGGGATGGC